AATAATAGGGCAAAATAATTGTTCTATAGTAAAGTCTCTATATTCTCTTACAAAGTAAATTCTTAATTATTAAATCTTTTGCCAACATTTCTGATTTTACTCCCCTCTGGAAAATCAGCAAATAGACATACTTTACAGTATCTGTAATAACAGAGAAGAAACAAACACAGATTTGTTTGGAGATCATCCCTAGATTTTCTGCCATCAGTTCTCTAGGATGAACCACAACGATGCCTGGAAACACATTAAAAACCACTGTGCATATTCTTTTTCTAAAGTTAATCATCTTAACTGTGTTTTAAAACTCATTATTTTAAAATAAAAAACAAATCTAGAAAACCACACAAAAAAATGTATGGCACTGTGACATTTTATAAAACAAACACTTGGTTATTCTAAAGTAACCACCATGGCAGCCAGGAAAAATAGAACCCTGCCAACCTTCTCAGAAGCCCTTTCTTTCCATGAGCCCCATCCCAATCCTAACCTCTTCCTACTTCCCAAGCAGCCATTATCCTGACTTGTATAGTAATCATTTCCTTGTGTTTTTTATAGCGTTGTCATCCAAAACTGCATCCTTATCCACTGTTAAACTGTTGATTTCTACATGCGCTATTATTTTACATTTAGCACTGCATACAGTTGCTAAATACTATTTAAGTGAACATATTTTACAATATAAATGAAAGATGATCAAAGTTTTACCCATCTTAAATGTTTTATCTTTTTTCTCATAATAAGTATGAACAAGATGATTTTTCAAGGAAAAGGATATTAACACTGCATCTGTAACTATTTGGCAAAGCTTCTACAATAATAAAAGGGTCTATGCTAATTAGACCAGATGCCATTCCGGACATCCTTCCAGATGACCTTCCAGACCAAGCCAGGGCTGCAAGGGAAGCCCGGGTCCCAGGTGCTGGAGGGAAGCCAGGGTCCTGGGTGCCAGAGGAAAGCCGGTGCTGGCAGCTAGGGGAAGGAAGGCCTATTCTTGCACGAATTTAGTGCATTGGGCCTCTAGTAAAATAATAAAGTAACAAAAATCCATTATAAAGAAGCAATGATCAGAAAACAAAAAAAATTTTTTTTTTCTAAAAACCAAAAGCCACAAATGTTTCTGGGATAATAATTATCCAAAAAAGGTTATTAAATTATAGATTCACTCAAAATTATATCTATTCAATTTTTAGATATCTCTTTTAATATGTATACATACCATAAAAAATCTTTCATGGGAAATGCTAAATGACTATGCGTAGAGAACATGGTGGTATGAAAACATATGACCACCACAATTTTAAATTTTATTTTACTAAGTATTTCATTTTCTAATTTCAGAAGAGAAATTGGAAGTCAATGAAATGTAAATTTTAATCTGCTTTAAAGTAACTTTCCTAAATATAAAATTAATATTAACTATATATATTTGGAAAACACAAAAATACCAGTTACATATCTATAGAAATAATACATAATGTCAATATCAAAAGTAATCCCTTTAACAGTTGAGCTTACTTTTTTATTAAAAGGATTATTCATCATTTACTGCATTATACCTCCAATATTTCTTCAAAGGACAATAGTTTATCTTTCATTATCCATTCAATCTTATAGATAAAGACCATAAAATAACAAGACTACTTTTTAGACATAGCATAATTTAGACATGCGGGTTTTTGTTTTGTTTTTTACTTTAAAGATACAGTTAATGAAAAAAATATTTTTCAGTAGGCTTCCTTGAGAACTTCCTTGAAATTCATTCGTTATACACATTAATTACTATTAATAAATGTTTCCCAATGGACCCTAATACAGGAATATAATGTTCTAGAATTTTACCAAAATCTTATGGTGTTCCTATTTCTCCTTTTCTTCATTGGGTTCTCACACTTCTATATCTACATGTTAAAAATGAGTTATATTGGTAATTTTCAGAAATTGTCTATTAAGAATTCAGAAAATCCAACTCATGGAAATTGCCATAAAAGTGTGCTACAAAAGACAAATGTATTTCTGAAAATCCAATTGTAATAAAAATTATGCAAGTCAAACTCTATCTTTTTACCAACCTCCATTTAAAAAAAATTTTTTGGAGATGTATTACAAGTGAAAATAAATTGGCTTAAAAGTATAATAAAATGCTATCTAAGAATAAATTAAATCTTTTCAAATTAATATTTAAGATAAAATTATAAAAATCTGATAAAACATGTGTTAATGTTAATAATAAATTAAAGAACAAAATACTGACCTTTTTTAAAACTACATATTTTTAGGACCAAATTATGTGATAAGAAATTGTTCTTCCTTGAAAATCTACTCTAATTTCATTCCTACTTCTGGTCAATGCTCATTTCAAAAACTTGAAATTCTGAAGTGGGTTTTTAAAGCTAGTAAGTATGAATACTCTCTGAAATATTGAAAGTGCCTTATAAATGCAAAATGATTATGATAATGATGATGATGATGATGGCAATGACAACATTGGTGATGGTTTACATAATGCGTCTAAGAAAAAGATGCTAAATTAATTCTGTAGTCCCTATAAGATTTCCATGATGAACAGCAGGGTGCATCTTTCCATACAATGGAATTATGCAAGGGTACTGAGATAGTTCATTTCTTAAAATGTAGATCTACACCCTAGCTCAGGGGTGGGCAAACTTTTTGGCTCGAGGGCCACAATAGGTTCTTAAACTGGACTCAGAAGAAGGAGCTGCGGCCGTGTTTCCCGACGTTGCCGTGTTAACACTGCTGCTGGTGAAGGAGCGGAGGGGAGAGCAAGAGAACCCTCCCCTCTTTCAGCTCCGCGGGCCGGATAGAACAGCCGAACGGGCCGGATCCAGCCCGAGGGCCGTAGTTTGCCCACGGCTGCCTAGCTGGTGTTGCTCAGTGGTTGAGTGTAAACCTATGAATCAGGTCATGGTTCAATTCCAGATCAGGGCACATGCCCAGGTTGTGGGTTCGATCCCCAGTAGGGGGCATGCAGGAGGCAGCAAATCAATGATTCTCTCTCATAATTGAAGTTTCTATCTCTCTCCTTCTCCTTTCTCTCTGAAATCAATAAAAAATATGTATTTAAAAAATATATAGATCCACAAATATATGTCCTTTAGAGTAGAACACTGGTGGCCAAGGAATGGCGTGTGTGCTTTGCTTGATTTTGTTTTCTTCTACTTAAAAAAAATCCAGTCTGTAACTAATAAAAATAATTCCATCCAGTTGTCAAAATTGGTGGGTATTTAAAAATTTTTCCCACCACTGGCAGGCCAAATCTAGGCATGTCTTTCCTGGTGTAAGAGAGAGATGAGACCAAGTACCCTCCTCTGGTCTGGTTCCTTATACCTCTCCTGGTTGGCTCTCTACTTTACTGCTGCCATCAGCCAAGGGTAAAAAAGGAAAACGAGGTCATTCAGATAGTGTGTCCTGGGCTCTGCTTATCTGCCTTTCTTTCCTTTTTCTCTATATGCAGTAGCATGTTTCACTTATCTTGTCCTAGAGAACTATGGTTTAATACACTGCAAGCTTAGTAAATACAATCCATATCTGATTAGGTCATCAGGAGCAGTCACACTTAAATCAGTTTAGTAAACGTTTCAAGTATTGCACAGTCCCTGCGAGGGGCCAAGGATTTTCACTTCTCTTAGGTCTGCCTACTCTTCGTTGTGTTACTTCTGGGGTTATAATTCTGCTGGCTGTTTCTACTCTTCAGTCTAATGCTGAAGTATTTCATTTGAAAGAACAAGGTCTTTTTTCCCTTTTGAAGCCTGGTTCTGTTTTTTAAGGCTACTTACCCACTGAAGCTTCCCTTCTACCAACTAAACTAGTATCCCCCTGGTTAAGTTTCAGATACTCACTATAAGATTTTTCCTCAGGCTGCAGCCCCCAACAACTTCCTCCAAACCAAGGAAACTGGGTTTCCTTAGTCCCCAACTCCATCTGTCCTTTTATGGTCAGTTCTATGAACACAGTTGTTTTCCCAGCCCCTTCACAATACCGTCTCTTCACTATTAAATGCGGTTTTCCCTCAAAAGAATCTTCCTTGTTTCTTCATCTCTCTCTCTCTCTCTCTCTCTCTCTCTCTCTCTCTCTCTCTCTCTCTCTGTCTCTTAAAACCATTCTTCTCTCTGATACCATCAACTCTCTAAAATCACATCTGCAACCTGGCCAGTGTTGCTCAGTGGTTGAGTCTCAACCTATGAACCAAGCGATCAGTGGTTCAATTCCCGATCAGGGGAGCTGATCAATGTTTCTCATGTTTCTCTCTCATCGATGTTTCTATCTGTCTATCCCTCTACCTTCCTCTCTCTCTAAAAAATATCAATAAAATAAAAATATTTTTTAAAAATCACATCTGTGATTAGGTTCTTCTAAAAATATTTTAATATTCATCACCCAGCAAAGAATAGTCCACTGCCCTTCTTTAAGAATCTTTTATAAAAATCACATTTTCATTTTTGCACAGAATCTTTTGCTCTCTTATCTTGTATTTCCTTTAATTCACATAAATTTTACTTGTGGGACTGAATTCAGTGACGGGGATATTTAGCCTTATGGCTGCAATTACTCTTATTTTCGTGTTCTTGAGGAACTTCAAAGCTCTTATGATATGTAATGAAAATTAGCAAAAAGAGACTATTTCTACATATATTTAAAATCTTATGTGCAATATCATTTACATAATTCTTATGACTTTGTGAAATAAATAATTACTTAATTCTTATAAATGTAAAATTTCACAAGTCAGTCATGCTTAAAGATAAGAAATACCCTTACTAGTGTGGAGTTAGGACCACTCTCTTACCTTGAGCTTCTTCAACAAGACTCAAAACCCATTTGTAATTTACTTTTTAAGTTATGAGCCTATTTTTCAAGAAAACAACAACAACAACAATTTCTTAAGCACCACAAGAAAAGAACAGATGGCCCAATGCATTTTTCAAGAGCAGCAGTTACACAGAAAACTGACCAAATATTAGTAAAATTATATATGAACTTACATAATCGTGGAAGGCTTTTGCTTCACTTGAATGTTCACATGTTTCCCGTCTTTCTGGAGCTGCACAGTAGAGATCCCAAAATACACTACAAAAGTAATTGTGGTAACATTAAGAAAATCACACCAAATGAGAGGTAACCATTCAAAAAATAGAAGACATCTTATTTTTATATAAAATGTGTTTTGTTCAGGAGAAATATTTCTTTCAAAGACTTAAATTCAGGCAAAAGTCTCCATGCAGTGATAGGGTAGAATCTAGCCATTGTTCAGAAATGCTAATAGGATTTTTCTAAAAAAGGATAAAATAATTTTTTGAAAATTTGAAACTATCTTTCTTGTCTGTTTACATGGGAAACATGATTGAAACAATTATAATAATTTTCACAATTTTCCCATGAAAAACTAAAACAGTAAAAAATATCCTAATTTAATCATTAAAGGATAAAGTGATTCATTGATTGTTTCAAGATAATTTTGTTGTCCAACTCAAAAGCCAATACCCTAACCATTAAATCACATTGGTCAAACAAATATTTCTTTTTAAAGTGTCCTCTTGTTTTCCCTTGAAATTAATTACCAAAATAGGTTATATTAATTTTGAAAATTAAAAAAATCCATGCTGTTTTTTTCCCCTCCTATTCAAAAATAATGAGAAAAAGCAAGAGGAAACTGGTTGGGAAAAAATAATTATACTACTTACTCTGGTCATCCTTCCATGATGAGCATGAGCAAGGAATTCCAAAATCAGGAAAGCAAATGTCTAAAAGTATTAATGGGGATAAGCCAGCCCTGCTAATTACTAGCTCAAGTTGCTTAAACAGATTGGAAACATAATCTCCTCCTTTATAAAACGGAGTTGTTTAGAAAATTAAATTATATGACATAAGCACAGTATCTAACTCATAGTAAGCATATTATTAATAATATCAATGCTATACCAAAACTTATGGGATGCAGCAAATGCAGTGCTAAAAGGAAAAAATAAAGCTGTAAATACATTTAAAAGCAGAATGAATGATCTTAAATCAACAACATAACTTTAAATCTTAGGGAACTAGAAAGGAACAAATTAAACCCAAAGCTAACAGAAGGAAATAATAAAGATTAGAGTAGCGATAAATGAAATAGAGAATAGAAAAACAATAGAAAAAAATTATTGAAAACAAAAGTTAGTTCTTTTAAAAAATCAACAAACTTGACAAACCTTTAGCTAGATGGACTAAGAAAAAAAAAAGATTCATCCTTGCTGGTTTGTCTCAGTGGATAGAGCGTGGGCCTGTGGACTGAAGGGTCCTGGGTTCGATTCCAGTCAAGGGCATATACTTCAGTTGCAGGCTCGATCCCTGGTCAGGGTGCATTTGGGAGACAACCAATTGATGTATCTCTCTGATATTGATATTTCCCTCTCTGTCTCTCCCTCTCCCTTCCACTCTTTCTAAAAATCAATGGAAAAATATCCCTAGGTGAGGAGTAACCAAAAAAAATTTTTTTAAAGATTCAAATTACTAAAGACTCTACCAAAAAACTGTTAGAACTAATAAAAAAATTCATTAAATCTGAAAAATATAAAAATCAATGTAGAAAAACTGTTTAGTTTCTATACACTAACAACAAATTATCAGAAAGTGAAATTAAGAAACAGAATTGTATCAAAAAGAATAAAATATCTAGGAATAAACTGAACCACAGAGGTGAACGCTGAAAACTATAAGACACTGATAAAAGAAATGGAAGAAGATACAAATGAAAAGATATTCCATGCCATGGATCAGAGGAATTAATGTTGTTAAGATGTTCATAGTACCCAAAGCAATCTACATACAGGTTCAATGCAATCCCTATCAAAATTCTAATGGCATTTTTCACAAAAAAACAATGACTCTAAGATGTGTATGGAACCACAACAGACTGAATAGCCAGAGCAATCTTGAAAAAGGAGAACAAAGCTGGAGGCATCACACTTCCTGATTTCAAACTATTTTACAAAGCTATATATAGTAATCAATAGACACTGAATTCTTTTCTCTACAACCTGAGATGTTGGTGCCTAAGATGGTTTTCAATTCCTCTAATCCTTACACCTATTAAGCTTGAAACCAAAATATTATCTTTGAATTTATCATCATGAACAATCCTTTAGATTTACAGTCTCTATATTCTTAAGTAGAAACAAGTGAAAAATCTGTATTTTACAAATGAAAAAGAGAACCAAACTTGAAAAATATAAAAGTATTTATTCTTGTATTATTAAAAATTTCCCCACAAAAATCAAAGGGAAGCACAGGATTCCCAAGTTGAGAATTCTCATCCAAAAACTGTTTTCCTTCTATCCTGAGGATATGAGTGAAATGACTTAGCTATTTATCAGTATCTCCAGGGAACACAGGAAGCAAAATGGTTGTCAGAGAAGTCTACAAGGGTGAATAAACATACCAGATGTGTCCCAGAAGATGGGATGCTAACATAATTATATAACCTATATGCCACTGGCCAGATTCAGGACTATCTGAAAATAAACATTGAAAGAAGTAGAAAAACCTTTGGGAAAAACATTTATTTTTTTCCTGAGAAACAAGTCATGTTACTACAAATTCAAGTCTTAATAACTAAAGAAGTCATTTCTCTTTGGCCCAAAATTATATTATCAATGAATGAAGAAAATTATCCATTCCTAAGATTAAAGAGGGTTTTACATGATATACATGTACCTGCTCATCACCTTAGAACTTCCACGTACATATACTTGTCTTATTCCTTAGCACTACTTAATACTTTTTAAATGCAAGCATTAAATTTTGTCCCACTATCACAAAATTCTCACAATACTTCTGGCTTAGTAATAAATTCATATTTTAAAGTATCAAAATAGCTTATATTAATAAGTATGTGCTAAATTCAAGCATTATATACTAAGTATTGCATATTCAGCACTATTATTATTTCCATTTTATAGATAAGGAAACTGAGGCTCAGAAAGGCTAAATAACTTGCTGAAGGGTCACAGTTAGTGGCAGAGCTTTGTTTAAACTTTTTAATTCTTACATTATTTTGCCTCTCATGTGAACACGGTATTAAGAGTTCTTATTTCAAGATGCCTTATGCTGATTATGGGTAGGTTTATAAAGCTCTGGCAGTCTGAGCAGCATCAGTTCTCATGAAAATGTGGTAGGTACCTGTCCTAGATAAGACAGAGAGAACTCTGTTACCCTACCTTTGACCCTTGCACTCGAACTCATTTCCTGAGTATCCTATGGCAACCATCCCTTCATGCTATCAGTAGCTGCCAGTGATCCATGGATGCCCCAATATCGACTAGACTTAGAAGAGACAACTTTCCTGAGTCCCATTTATATCTACTGTCTGGAATTAGTCACTCATGATGCTCAAAAGGGAACTGTAATTAATTTCTTATTAATAGTGGGCACTAAATTCTGTTCTGTGTTTAAGAAATAATATATTTTGCAGAGACAAGCACTGGCTGAAGTTCTAATTCTGAATCTGACCCTGAGGAAATAGTTTTGTATCTTAGTTTCTTTATGTAAAAAGAGGGAAGTACGTTACGCATTTTACAGGTTTTTATATAGATAGAAAGAAATGGTATATGCAACGGTAATTTTATAGGTAGTACTAGAGGCCTGGTGCACGACATATGTGCAATTGGGGGGATGGGGGGGTCCCTCAGCCTGGCCTGAGCCCTTTTGCAGTCTGGGAGCCCTTGGGGGATGTCTGACTGACAGCTTAAGCGGGAAGTCGGACATCCTTAGCACTGCTGCAGAGGCAGCAGTGGCTCCTGCCACAGCTGCTGCGCCAGCCGTCAGCCCAGCTGTGGCTGAGCAGCGCTCCCCTGTGGGAGCAGACTGACCACCAGGGGGCAGCTCCTGCGTTGAGTGTGTGACCCGTCATTCCGCAGTTCAATCGATTTGCATATTACCCTTTTATTATATGGAATGGCTAGGAAAAAAGTTTCTTATTAACTGAGTAAAATTTTCCTCAATTTCCTTTTTAATTCTTTGCATTTAGTGAAGATTCCATCAGTTTTTTTTATACTGTCTTCTCCCCAGCACATTTTGCTCTGTATTCCACATTTCTTTGCCAGACACATTTTGCTTTTCCTCTATAGGCTGACCATCTCTGTTTTTTGCTTTCTCTCTTGCTACCACTTTTTTATTCCCTTCTCATCATGACTCTACCCCTTCTATCCTAGCTGTCACCTACACTGTCTTTTATTGCCTCTTAGTTTAACTTAATTCAAATAAATAATTACCTATGTGATACCTATTACAAGCCACATATACCAGATGAGTAAGAACCAGCTGACAATTATAAATGTTATACCATTCCAGTGAGACAGCTGACTAATTTAAATGCGGTTGTTTTTATATGGGTATTCGGTTATTCTTAGCTATTCCTGATGTCATCCACTAGATTCTGTAATCATTAAGAGTGCTAACATACTGCAAGATGTGACCTCCTATAGCCAGGTGAAAAGACTGAATTCTCATAATAATCTTAGTTATTAGTTTATTTTCTCTACAATGTAATATATTTAATTTCAGGATATAGATACATTGGCCCAATGTTATTTCAAAAGGTGTTTTATATCTATAATTAAATGAGACACAATTTAAGCCATTAAACCTTTAAAAACAAAGTTCTTGAAGTGTATATTTTTAAGTTACATAAATTGGAAAGGGGAAGTTTCTTGGCATTTCTTTTTCAGAAATTCATTAAAGAGTTGGAAGCTTTTATTAAAGTGTACAAGCAAGAAGTAAGTTTTCAAAGAGGATTTGACCAAGGTAAAGGTAATGAACATGGTAGGCATGGGAAATAGTATAGCAATGGGCATTGTGCAAACTGAGAAAGAAAAAAAAACAGTGATAATGGAAATCACATCAGAAACAAGAAAAAACAGTCCCAGAAAGTAAAAACACACACTCTGTCCCTTCCTCCTCTCCAAAGCCTTTGCCTCTCCTCTCTCCTGCACTTTATTCTGCATTTTTGTGCATGTGTATTTCTCTTTACACATCTTCAACCTCTCCCCATGTTCCCGCAATCTATACACACGCTCAGAGCTATTCTATTTTAAAATCTGAAGTGTTAGGTCACGTTCTATTGTTAATCCTAAAACAGCTACACATGCCACCACACACTTCAGCTACTCTCAGCAGCCCTCGAAGTCGACAAGTGCATTACAGCAGCCTTCTTAATTCTACTTTCACCATTCCACTGGAACTGCTCTCCCAAGACTGCCGCATTCACCTTACTTCTGATTCCGAAACATCTTTGTGTCTGTTTACTTACACTTACTGAAGAATTTAATCTTTCCTTCTAATGCCTTTCCTGGTTACCATACATTTTTCTCTCCTGATTACCCTCCTTCCTCTCCAATTATTTTCCTTTGAGGATCCCCTTCATCCATTCACACTGAAATGTTGGCTTTCCCCAGGGTTCCAACCCCAGACCCTACTCTTACGTTTTACATTGGGCGGTTTCAGTATGGTCACTGTTGATCATTCTCACACCATTAGGGACCCGTCTCAGAGCCACAGACCCAGATCTCTGACTTTGAATAGGGCATCCCGAAAGGAATTTCTCACAGGAACCTCAAAATTTAGCCTCTCCCACTTAAATCGTGGTCTTTTCTAAACCCTGTTCCTCTCTCTATATTCCACACTCAGTCAATGGCATCACTGTTCATTCCACCATCCAAATCTAGAACCTGAGAACCTCCTCCTTCATCTCTAACTATTGCACCCAGCGTTCACTATCTGGGATCCATCACCTAATCACCTCTCAACTGGACAATTGCCTATAAACTAGAGTCTACCTCTATTCTCAACCCTCTTAATACATCTCTATGTTGATGCCAAGTGAGTGTCTAAAAGTGCAAATCTAATCATGTTATGTACCTTGTTTAAAATATCTGAGCTTTATTCCAAAACTCCTGGACTTTGTAATCTTGCTCCTGCCTTTGTCTCTAGCCTTATATTCTATCACTTCATAGTAGTGTACCTACAATTCAACTGGTCCAAGCTACCTGTCATTCCTTGAATGCATGATCATCCCTTTCAAGACTTCATACTAACTATTCCTCTGCCAAAATACCCTTCCTTCACCAGCTTTCAGCTCAACTCAGATCCACTTTCTCTGTTCAGGCTTTTCTAGTTCTCCCTAGCTAACGTGGGTATTCCTCCTGCACTGCTATTATAAGCAGCACATATCTCACTTACAATGCTATTGATTGTATTTCAGAGCTGCACCTCCTGATAACTAAGACCAAAAAAGCTAAAGTCTGACAGAAGCAAAAAGCCGGAGGATTCAGTGAGTTACTATCAACCATCTATAGAATGAGAATAGGTTAAATTCATGAGAAAGGGAGTAAAAGGGAAATTGGTGCAAAAATAGAATTAATCCTATAATGAAAAATCTCACTTTGTTAGCCCACTAATCCAATAGGGACAGACTTCTAAATGGTTTCGCATGCCACTTTGTAGACCTCGTTGGAAACATTCAAAAGGCATGGGTGTCAACAGGTGAAGAGACTCAATTACATTCAACAAACAGTTAAGTATTTACAGTCTAGATTTAGGAATTATAAATACATATTATATAAAATGAAAAGTGGACTTTTATAATATTATATATCACAAGACATTGGTCTCATGACCCGCGAAAGCAGCACAATGATAGTGCTTAACTGCAATGAACCGTTGTTCCAAATACAGGAACAGCTCTGAACCAAAGGACTGCACCTGTTTCTGCCACACACATATGAGACAAACAAGGGAAACCCACAACCACAACTGACCAAGTGCGGTTCCATTCACTACGGAACTTCTAGTAAGGCATGTTTTCAGGAGAGAGATTAAAAAGATGATGGCATTTAATAACGTACCAAGGAAACCATGTGCAAAGCACTAGAAGAGATCTCTAGTTTCTTTTAAATACGCTGCTGAGAGATGAGCATAGAAGATACTGAACAGGAAATGCTTCTAATTGAAGAAATGAAGAAAAAAAAAGCCTAGCTAGTTCATGCAAATACCTGCAGTACCTACTGATTGCTGTTGCAGAAAAGTCATATCTAAGTAAACAGGTGCTGCAATGAAATTTGTAAGTTCTGATATCAACTGGGCCTTCAATACAGCCTGACAATTTTTGTGTGTGTTCCTGGTCAGTTCTTTTTTTTTTTTTAATATATTTTATTGATTTTTTACAGAGAGGAAGGGAGAGAGATAGAGAGTTAGAAACATCGATGAGAGAGAAACATCGATCAGCTGCCTCCTGCATATCTCCTACTGGGGATATGCCCGCAACCCAGGTACATGCCCTTGACCGGAATCGAACCTGGGACCTTTCAGTCCGCAGGCCGACGCTCTATCCACTGAGCAAAACCGGTTTCGGCACTGGTCAGTTCTTTATCTCTGAGTCTACATAGAATTATCTTCAATTTTTTTTTTACTACCCTTTCCTCTCCTCAAAATTCACCATCACCACCACCACCATCAGTATCTTCAGATTTAAATGAGGTCATGAGGATGGGGCCCTCATGATGGAATTAGAGCCATTATTAAAAGAGATGCCAGTTAGCTAGATAGGTAGCACCAACATGTTCCCCATCCCCCTCTATAGTACATGAGACACGTAAGAAGGCAGCCATCTACAAGCCAGGAAGAGATTTCTCACCAGAAACAGACCATACTAGCAACTTGATCTTGGACTTCTAGCCTCCAGGATTGTGCGAAAATAAATTTCAGTTGTTTAAGCCCTCCAGTTTATGGTATTTTATTATGGCAGCCAAAGCTGACTAATGCAGAATCATACTTACAGTTGGAGATTCCACATACTGGTCCCAATTCCAGCTTGATTCAATAGTAATATCTTTAAGTTAAGTAACACTAATGCTGGTTTTGAGTTTGGTGTGTTTTTTTAGATACTATCTTTCAGAAATAATTATAAAAAATGAAAGAGAATAAAAGAGAAGCATGGAATCCTAAACAGCTATAATGTAGGCATCCTGAAATGTATCATCAATCTGGTAAAAATGAAATAAAGATACTTACCACCACCAAGAATGTAAGAATCCTGGTGGCTCCCCCAACGTGATGTTTTTTTCCCATCTTATCTAAAATGAATAAAAGAGATATTAAATGCTTTTCAACTAACACTTTCCCCACACCTATTACAAAGCAGGATTTTTCCATTTAAAATATTATGGTAATATATAAGATTTTAATCATGTTCATATTATTCTTTACTCAAGTTTTACAAGTACTCATTTTATGTAATAATTTGTTGACTGCATAGTCTGTGAAAGAAGATGCCACCATTATTTTCCTGAATTTGCACCCCACTGTGCCAGAATTCCAGAAGGTATTTCAGGATCTTAAGGTACTTCAGCATGTTAAGGTACATCAAAACCAAAGTAACTACCAATATGAATATCAGTTATCACCACTAGCCCAGAAATTTGCAAGAGACTGGGCTTAATATGTACAGACTCTAAAGTATGCCTTAAGGATTGAATTTTTGAGTAAGAATGCATATGGCTTCCGCAAAATAAGAGTTTTTACAAAAATGCTAGTATTAGCTTTCCAATTGCTTATACTCAGGTGAGTTGAAATCCACTATAATATAAATTTAAAACTATGGCAATATACCCCCAAAATTAAAAGTCCTAAATATTGTTTTCAAATTAAATTTAGAAATTGGAAAGCAGGGCGGGTATTTATACAGTGGCTTTTCTAAGCATTGGATATCAGTAAACACAAAAGGTAAAAATCTTTGCATTCAGAGAGTTTACACTTCAGTGAAGAAGACAGACCATAAACAAAGAACCCCTCCCCCCAAAAAAGGTTGTACTTATATTAGAAGTAGAAGGTGACAAATGTTATGAAAGAAAACAAAGCAGTGAAGGGAGGATAAAGAGAGCAGGAAAACAGTAAAGAAGTGACTTATAATTTTAATAAAGTTGATCCAAACTCAAACACAGTCTTATGTATTTGCCTTAGTTTTTTTAGTTTAAATAACTAAAAATTATTTAACAACACCCAATTAACAAAATATCCATAGGCCCTTAACATTACTAGGAAGTAAACAACTATAATTATACATTCAAGGATTTCTTTCTACCACCTACTATGGAAGATATTAGGACTTCTTATCCCAAAGGGATTTTTTTTAAAGTTTTAGGATAGGCACTCAGAAGGGGGGCCTAGATGTAAAAAAAAAAGGGGGGGGGCGAGTGGGGGTGGAGAAGGAAAAGAACTCTCTAAGAAGAGATGGAAAAACTTAAAAGCAATTAAAATAACTGAAACAGGCTGCATTTTTTAGAGTTCTTAAGAATGCAAAATGTAAACCGATGGGAACCTTAAGTAGACAAATAATTTCCTCTCAAATACACAAAGAGAAAATTTCTAAAGATTAGAAAATTAGACCTGTGATAGCCATTTTTAAAAAAGAGCTAAAAGGAGGAATTCTAGGAATTCATGAACTTGAGTTTATAAAGACTAAATAAGAATAATGAATTAGAACGTTATATAAATGTAAGCCAAATCCTTTCATTCTCCTAAGTAGTAACAAGTAATTTTTATATTTATGCTACTTTTTATCTGATAATATCCACTGATCCATAATACATCTCCTTGGCTCATGAAAAAATAAGAAATAGTACTTAATGAGTCTTATAAGGAGCACAACTCTGATGAACTACTAAAGTTGTAATTTAATCAAAAGCCTGTATCTCATCTTTCACTTTTTTCTCTAACCATTTTTGCACTAGTTGGTGTCTTCTTGAAAAGGTATAATAATGGACCTTACAGATGTGCCCCAGACACACTAATAGTCCTAATCCCTAGAATCGTCCTAATCACATAAGCAACAAGTTTTTCAAAGTAGCGTCTTTATATTTCATCTCAGTTCATCTTGACTTTACATATTATGACTGTTAAAGTAGACGGTACTATCCTCAGTTATAAGGAGAATGTGAGGTGACTTATGGAAGAGCTAAGGTGGCATGACTAGGCCCCATTGCCACACTGTGCTAGAGGTGGGCTTAGGTTCAGTCTGAGCCCCACTACAACACATCTCCCTCCTGCACTTACACAGTGCCCACAGTCCATCAGAAGCTTCTTCAAGATATAAAGCACTCTAGGAAAATACCTATCTGGTTTAGGTTTGATATGGTCTTTATCAGAGAAAGTCTAAAGGGAATGCATTTGTATTTTAAACAGTATTACATCTTACTATTCCTCAGAGAAACTCCAAATGCTTTACGTACATCATGTTTTCATCCTCATAATATCCTTTACTAGATAGTGAGTGAAGTTCATCTTTCTCACTTTGAATTGCAAAGCTGTGGCAGAAGCAGCTAAAACTTCGGTCCATTATATTAAATTTAATATAGAAGCTATCCTTTTATAGTTAATGAATAAACAGTAAATGCTTTAGGTATTTCCAAAGGAGAGGACATATAGGAATATGTTTCTATAGTGCATGGGTTTTGTTTGTTTTTGGTCTCTAAACTAATTAATACTCTAGGTATTACTTATTTAGGGAAAGCATGAAATCATAGTCAGGAACACAAAACCCTTATCTATAGAAAACCAAGGCACATTCATTGAGTGAGCACTGTTAGAAAAAAACCAAACCTGAAAAACATTCACCAACAGTGAATATAAATAAATTTTGATACTTACATACTATACAACAGTGTGCAATCATTAAAAAGAATAAAATATATCTACATAGAAAAAGGATCCTGCTATATTGGTTTTTAAGTTGGAAGTTTGAAAGGTTGGAGAAAAATATACATAGTATAAAAACTTTTCTGTTTTTTTAAAAAAGTGTGCATATATATGAGTGCATTGGGTGTATTCATATTAAAGAAATCATACCAAACTTACAACTACAATTTCTAGAAAGGAATAAAGGACTTTCACTTTAAAATCATATTCACCTATATAGTTTAATTTTTTTAGCCAAGATGCATTAATGTGGATGGGGTTGAGGAATGGCCAAAACATACCTCTAAATAACAAGTCATTTTAGAAACAATTCTGCTATTTATGAAGAGGCATTGTCTGTTGTACTGAGTTTCATGGGCCTCAGGCTTATTTAAGTGTTTGAGTGGCAGCTATCAATTTCTCTCAACTCCCAGCCTCAAAGTATCCTAGGGCTTTTTCTTTTCTTTACTTTTTTTTTTTTTTGCTATTTAATTATCTACTTGTCTTCCATATTTGCCCAGCTAAAAGCCCATTCCCACTGCCATATTCTGATTTGAAGGTCTCATCTCTGATTAAGCTAAGTCTGTATCATATTAGCTATGTCTGTATCATTAAGCTATGTCTGTATCATAGTCTTTTTAGCATTTCTATATAAGTGCAAAACCAAACACTGAATCATATGGGCAGAGATAAGACATGCAATGTGCTTTATAAATAATAATTGCAAATTACAAATGTATATACTATCTGATACAGCAATTCTTTTTCTAGTAATTTGTCCTATATAGTATATGGTCATTTTTGTAAATACACACACACACACACACACACACACATTGTCTGTAATTGCAAAAGACTGGAAATAACCTAACTGTCCATAAGTAGAGGGCTGGTGAAATACATCATGGCACATTTCATAGAATAATACCCTATAATCATAAAATGACAATTATGAAGTTTCACAAACCAACATAAAATGACTGAAATCAAACAAGTGAAACAAAAATCAAAGCACAGAACAGTGTTTGAAATAAACAAACATTTGTGTAAACAAAGAAAAAAATGACATACAGGTGCACACACATGAGCATATACACACACACACATCTCCTTAACTTTTCATCATTGTTTGCATCCAGCAAGGTACACTGGTCATTTACCTATTACCTCTCAGCCCCACACCCGCCTTTCTCTGCTCCATTCTACACTGGTGCTGGGATTCTGAAAATTACATTTCCTGGGCTTCTTGCCAGCTGGTTTCCTGTTAGGTTCTGCCATCAGGAGACACTTGCAGGGGATCAAAAGGCAGGAGGAAGAAGAGACACTTCCTGCCCCTGGCTCCCCAAACGAAGCAGTTGCTGGCTGTGGCAGCAGCAGCAGGGTGGGCACTTCTGGGGGCCAGCAGCACCTTTCCGGAGGTTCTGCTCTTGTCAGTGTGGGCCCTCTTAGGATGATCTAGACCCCTTCCAACAGCATCGCCAACAGCACAGCAGCAAGTTTGAAACACACAGGACCCAATTCTCAGAGTATTCCTAAGTCCTTTCATATTTTTGAGAATAAAAAAATTAATAGTATAAGAGGATAAAGCTAGTTCCTGTGCTAAGAGCCTGTATACCTATGTATACATTTGTTCCTAGACAAAATTCCTGAGACTTCTAATTTAGATATAACCTGCTGTTCCCACCAATTTTCTAAAAACTTTCATGTATAGAAGTATGGGTGCATCTATACACTAAACTAAATATAAAAAAATTAAATTTTTTGCATTTTAATTCAAAAAATTAAAATTAATAGATATATAACAGGAAGAAAAATCTGTGTCTACTCTGAAGTAAGTAGTCCAAAACTGTGCTGTTTAACATGGTACTCAGTGACCACGATGTGGCTTTTTAAATTTAAAATTAAGTTAATTGACTATTCCTCAACTGCAGGGGACACTTCAAATGCTCAATAGTCACATGTGACTAGTAGAAAATTTACTAGACAGCACAGATTAGAGATCATTTCCATAATCATATAAATTTGTATTATTGAGTAGTGCTCTTTTACTTTAGAAGGAAGTAAAAGTCCTCTTAAAGAGAAGTACATTTTATTGGAAAAGCTCCTTGATAAATTCTTTCCATTTTTGTTTTTATTTTTTGGCCCAGAGAGGCAGAAGCCCCCTAGGAATGGTTTGAAAGTAGAGAACAAATACTTAATATTCTACATAATAAAATAACAAGAATGTAGGAGATTGCTAATTGTCTCTCAGGAAGAAGTTGGGGGGTGCGGGGAGGATTAAGGAAAGGAGAAAATGGGAGAGGTTTTGAAGAGCCAACAAGATGGAAGGCAAACAGAGCCCTCAGGCAAACAGCTAGGAAACCAAAGAACTTAAGGATAATTATGTCTAATATTTTAGTTAATGTTGCTGTCTGTACTGTACAATGCTTAATATTCAATTTTCTTCCAACCTTCAGTAAGAATCTTTCATACATAAGAGCAATGAGTTAGTGGAGCTTTGAGGCTATAAGGAAATAGAAAACTTCAGGCAAAGAAAAGTTATCAGCCATAAGAAAGAGAGGCAGTGGGGAAGTAATCCTTAGTAGGAGCAAGAAACTATAGCAAGAGAACCCAAAGCCCCTCCCCCTGGGCAAGGCCCCAATACATTAGAGAGGGGTTGAGACAACCCATAATAGTAGGGATTAGAGCTGGAGCCATGTTGATAGAAGAGGTAACCCCAGAATGTAGGAGGAATGTGGGCTGTCCAAATGACAGACACTTGGACCACACACAAAAAACTACCCTAGGTAGAAAAGAATTGGCCAAGAATTTAAAAAATAACACCGTGCAAACTTAGTACATGCTAGCCCTTCTAAGCACTATACATGTACTAACTCATTAAACCTCGGCACAACTTTAAACTGTTATTACAATGATCTTTTTTTAAAATATATTTTTATTGATTTCAGAGAGGAAGGGAGAGGGAGAGAGAGATAGAAACATCAATGATGAGAGAGAATCATCGATCAGCTGCCTCTTGTACTCCCCACACTGGGACTGAGCCCACGATCCGGGCATATGCCCAGACCAGGAATTGAACCATGACCTCCTGGTTCATAGGTGGACGCTCAACCACTGAGCCATGCTGGCTGGGCTCAAAGTCTTCTATTTAATAATTTAATAAGATAAAGACACACTAAACTTCTGTTTTGATTTAAATTAACTTTGAAATCAATGTTTTATTACACTGAATGTATTCCTTCTATGGTAAAACAACTGACTTCTTATATGCTGTGAGCAAACTTCTTAAATTTCTTAATTGCAGAAGAGGCCCTAATAGTTCATACATAATAATTAATTAGATACAAGATTGCAGGGCTATGTGTGTGTGTTTGCTTATGCGTTTGTTTGGAGAACAAGTGAATCTCAAGACTGTACCTCAGATGGGACACTCTGAAGGGGTTGCCTGTTGTGTCCCTGATCTGGTGGGGACAAATTGTGAGATCACTAGAGACAACATGATTTTGAGCAGCACTGTCCCACAGAAATATAAACATGAGCCACAAATAAGAGCTGTATATGTAATTTTAAATTTTCTACTAACCATATTAAAAAAGAAAAAAGGGTAAAATAAACTTTAATAACAAATTTTTTATTTTACCCGATATATCCAAAATATTACCATTTCAATGTAATCAAAATTTTTAAATTATTGATATTTTATTTTCTTTTGTTCATACTTATAGCACTTATTAACTGGATTAGTCCTATTTCAAGAGCTCAGAAAGGCATATATGGCTAGTGGCTACCATACTAGACAATGCAGACACTAGGGGAAGCCAGAAGCTTTGACACTGATATAGACCTAGGTTTGAATTCTAGTTCCACAACACACTGAGCTGTGTGACTATGAGCCAGTTATATAAACGCTCTGGTCCCTGTTGTTCTCATTAGTAAAATAGGAATCATATCATTTACTTTGCAAATTTCTTATAAGAATCAGAGATAATATATGTAAAGCGCCTTGCACATAAAAAACACACACACACACACACACACACATACAAAAAACTAAATAAAATCTTCCTCAATATCATCAGTATATAAATTGAAAAGGGAAAGTACCATTACAAGAAAACTCAAATTCAATGTTTAAAAAAAGTGGAGAAAAATAGAAAGAGAAACGAGAACTTGAAATAATATTATCAACTGTTTTCTAACTGAAATCTAGCCATCAATTATCCATACAAAATTAAAACAAACAAAAAACATATTTTTCAAAATTGTGAATAATGCCAAAATAAAATATTACTAGAACTAGAGCCATGGTAGTGTTTGCCTTTTTTTTTTTAAAAGCAAATTTGCTTTCTTGATTATTTTTGCCAAGGCAAATATTAGTTTCAATTTCTAAGACAGAAAATGGCTGGATAATTGAATAGGTATGGAAATGGCATTTGGGGATACTAAAACTTTTTACAAATAATCTACAAAGACTACATTATCCATACTGATAACTGCGCACTCATTATATAATATATAAAGATTAATTTCTTTCAATAATTGTTACAGTGTATTTTTCACTTGTTTGCATAAGATCAAAATACAGTGCAGAAAACATATAAAACATACCTCTGATAAAAATGTTTGGGCTGATTTCTGAGCTCCTACATGGAGCAGATATTCATATACGTAGAGTGCTAACCTGGAAAATGAATAAAATATTTATTGAGAAGAGGAGTATTTAAAATTAATTCCTTAAATAATTACACACCTTCATATTACAAAAATATTTTACACACTTAATAGTGACACAAATCTTCCCATATCCTTTCCATGGGAGTTTAGATATTATATGTTCAGAAAGAACTTAAACTAATTAAAGTAGCAAACAAAGAAAAATACAAATACATCCTTTCTTGGCAAGAAATGACTAAATATAAATTGTGTCTTGTAACATCTCACCATAACCTCATCCCCTTTCTTATACCTTATATAATTAATAATTTATAACCAAACATTAATAATCATTATAACTTATTTTAAGATATAATTATAATCTTTCATTAGTAAAATAAATGAATTAATTCATTGGACCTTTACAACAACTTTATGTCCTTCCATTTTTTTTTTTTTTTTTTTTTGGTGAGTGTAATGTAAACTTCGGCTGTTTGCACATCCATATGCCAAAACAGGTGTTGAATGTCCATTTTAATGCCTATTCTGCAACCTCTATTCTTTAGTTTTGACTTTTAAACCAGCAATATTTTATTTTATAAGGCATTCAAATTAACAGCAAACCACAGTATTAAGTAAACTTTAAAGATATCAGATCATATTAAGCATTTGGATGCTTATAGTTTAAAAGTTAACTCAAAATTACATATAAATTTATCACTCAAATACAGAATATTAAGTATGCAGTATATATAGTACTCTCATTATCTTGTGGATTCAGAATTTTTAAGCTACACCATGTGGCTCAATTTCAGTTGAGCTGTTAACAAAATATTATTCATAAACCCAAATTAGTCTGAGGCAGTATTTTTAATGATATTTTGGACCAGTGCCCAGATAGCTCACAACAGTTCAGTCTCTGCTACACTATATTTACCAATATTGAGCCAGGTTTGCAGTAAACAAAACAATGTAACAATGACCACAATTCTGTATAGCAACACCACTTCTCTTGCCAAGTGAATTTTGATTGTTAAAGATTGATAGCACATGCAGAAATGAATATTTTCTTCATTATCATACAAACAAATCATGTAATTGTCATAAAAAGAGAAAACTTGTACAAATCTAGTTGCTCTGTCCATTGATTCTTTCCCCATTCAAAAACTACCAAACACTCAAAATGAGAACTATTCTGAGAATTATACTACGCAGCATAGGAGAGTAGACATCTGTTGAAGTTACTCATAGATGAAAAGCATGTTATTGACAGTGGACATGTATCTCATTTAGAAACATCTCCTAACTTCAAGTTGAATTTCACTCCTAGATCTCAACTCTTTCTCTCCCCTAACACATGTGAGGACTATATCATGCTCCTTCTGGCAGCGGTATCTCCCTGTGGAGGTGTGGCTCATCCCCAGAGTATTTCATATGGGGTACAAAAATTGGAATATTCCTGTAGTTTCAAACAAACGAACAAACAAATCCTAGTGGTGATTCTCAAGCACACACATCCCACACACCCTGTCCCTCCATTAACCATTCCCAGCCATAACACAGGAGTCACTGACCACGATGGCAAATTTCATCTCAAAAAGCATATTATTTTGGATTTTTTCACCCATAGAGACTGTGAAGCCTCATAATTGCCTACCAGTGTCAGCATCACCCTCCTGCCTACCTAAGAAGAAACAACCTCAGGTGATTCCTTCTGGCTTGTAAAATCTTGGACCTAGAGTCAAACCAGTGGTGCAGCTCGACCAGATTTCCAGGCCTGCCTCAAAGTCTGAACAACAAGGATGCTCCCCGAAGCTTGGAGAAGTTGGAAGTTCGAGGCAGAGAGTGAAGCGGAGGCACCATGGTGGGCCTTCCGGGAAGAAAACAGCCCAAGCCAGAGCATACTTGTTGCTCTGCCCTCGCAATAAGCATCTTTCCTTAAATGTAAGCATATCTTCCTTGTAATATCTTCTTTATACTATTGAAGTGGCTCATATGTTTCTTCTGTGTTTCCCCCCAATTAATTAAGTAACAGAAAGGATACCTCTTTACTAGTAGAATTAAAAGCAACAATCCCCACTCTTTCTCTATGTGTCTAGGACAGTGATTCTAAAAAATGTATTGGTAGGACACAGAAGCATTGGGAAAAGGGGGTTTCAAACTACATAACTGGATATTCTGAAGCATCTTCCAGAGGGTGTAGCTGTCCTCTTACCCTCAGAATCTATAGCAGCACATTATTACCAACAGGGTGATGAAGTGGGATGGGGCTGAGAAAATCTATCTAGAATGCCACCTCATATATCCATGTTCTGCAATCTCCCTTGAACAAAACTGATGCTTCCCAGGCAGTCAGGACCTATGCTCCAGAAAGAGTGGGAGGGAACACTGCCTGGGTGAACAATTAATTAAACTCTACTGCCACTATGACTCCTTAATACAGCACCAGGAAATCGACAATATTTTAACAATTGCCTGTGTGTATAGGATTCTCCAAATCTCTTTAGCCCTATCCTCTCTACCAAGCTCCAAATCTGCTTTTCCAAACCACTGTTTGAAGTATCTAACAAGGTATTTCTCTCTTAAATTGACCATGTCCAAAGTTAAATTTGCCTTCTTCATCTGTGTACAGTACCCGTGCTCACCTTGAATGAAACACGATCTTGGTCTGTTTCTTCATTTGTAAAATGGGAAGAATACTACTTCCCTTGAGTATTGTTGAAACTACTAGCACAATAAATAGTAACTACTACTATTATAGTTTCAGCTAATTTCCCCACATCCAGTAATATATTACCAAGTCATATACTGGATTTTAATGCCACAATCTCTCCCATATTAGCCATTCCTTTCTATTCCCACTTCCTGCTCCTGAGGAACCACTAAGAGCCACAGCAATGGCAGGAGGACTATTTGCTCAGCTTCAGATACAGACACTGTATATTTCCCATTAGCTCCCGACAAGAGAGGTACTAGGGCCAAAAATAAGAATCTCCAGAGGTTTGGGGGGGGGGGGGGGGCGGGGGGAGCCTTGCAATAAAAGATACTGTTTGAACAAAAATGATTCCAAGGGAGTGGGGAGTGATACTTTGTCCATCCATGAGGTAAATAAATCATAGCAACTGTCCCTTACCTAGTGACATGAGATCACCAAACATGAGAAGACAACATTTTATTTGGATCCAATTTCTATTGAACAGTACAAATTTAAAGATAAATATTACAAACACAAATATTTAAACTATGTATACTTTTGAGTTAACAATTCCTTTTTAGCATCCTTTAAGAAATAAGGGGCAAACATGTGTACCCCTTTCAGAGGCCTGGGGGCATCTCTGATTACAGCATTTATTATCAATCATAAAGGTAGCCCTGTGTCTCCAGTAAAAGATTAAACTTTTCCACTCACACTACTTAAAAATCTAAGATATTTAGCTAGAAAAGAATTAAACCTCTCATATATTACCTGCAAACTCTTTTCCCCAACAAACATTTTTGTTGTTGGACTTAATTTTGGTCAGGGTTTTCAAATTTTTGGGGGGTGGGGGGTGGGGGTGGGTTTGGTGGTGAGGGAGAGACATTTAGACATTTTTGATATTTAAATATAGAAATAACTAATATGAAAAAAGTTCTAAACCCTTATAGATAAATAGGCAGAGGCAATAACAATCATCATAACTAATTTTAAAATGTGGAAAATGTTAAACATAACTAGGAATTAAAGAAATATATATTAAACCAACTATGCGATTTAAATTCTCACCTTAATACATAATATGCAAGGAAATGGATATGCAAATACTATTGATTGCAATAAATTGGTATAATTCTTTACAAAACCAATTTGGCAATAACTTATACATCAATAACTTTTTTAAATTATATTTTTATTGATTTCAGAAAGGAAGGGAGAAAGACAGATAGAAACATCAAAGATGAGAGAGAATCATTAATTGGCTGCCTCCTGCATGCCCCTACTGGGGATCCAGCCTGCAACCCGCGCATGTGCCCTTGACCAGAATTGAACCTGGGACCCTTCAGTCCACAGGCTGATGCTCTATCCACTGAGCCAAACCAGCCAGGGCCATTAGTAACTTCTTTAAAAAAGTTAATGGCTCTGGCCCAATAGCTCAGTGGATTAGAGTATCCTTCCAATACGCCAACATTTCAGGTTCCACCCCCAGTCAGGATACATACAAGAACCAACCAATATGCCCAGCTAGTGTGGCTCAGTGGTTAAGCATTGACCTATGAACCAGGAGGTCGCAATTCAATTCCCAGTCAGGGCACATCCCCAGGTTGTGGGTTTGATCCCAGTGTGGGGTGTGCAGGAGGCAGCCAATCAATGATTCTCTCTCATCATTTCTATCTCTCTTTTCCTCTTCCTTCCTCTCTGAAATCAATAAAAATATATTTTAAAAAAGAAAGAAAAGGGATTCAAATAAATATAAAGCCCACCAAGTAATGGGTCCCCATTTGTAATTTTAAAATTCCATTTGTTAATTCGCTATATGTGCAAAAGTGCGGGGCAGAGTGGGTAGGATAACTTCAAATCCTGCTCTTCCTAATTTCTCTTGAAATTAAACTACTCTAATGCACCTTATCGCTCTTGTTTATTTCTGTGTCTACAGCACCTAAAATAGTAAGCACCCAATACATATTTTTTAATAAATGAATGACTCTCTAAGATCAGGCGTAAAGCACTTATAAATCCTTTGGTGTCGTCCAATCAAGCATTGAAAGAAGTATAAGATATCCCCTTTAGATAACCTATTTAAGCATTAGCATCCTCTCAGTATCTTTAAGATTCAGCATCTCACAAAAAAAATTATATTGTTTATCATGCATGCTACCAAAACAATTCCTTCACACTGATTCTTAATCCCTACGTATAAAGGGTGATTAAAAAAATAACCTAGTCCTAAAAATAATTTAGTTGCGGGTGATATATTTTTGTTGTTTTAGTTATTTTTAACAAAACAAGTTCTCAAAAGATACTAACTTCACTTTCACCTTTTTATTACCTTG